AAGGACGCGGCGACGACCACGATCTAGCGCCACTTCCACCGGTACCTCTCTCCGATCCTCTCCAACCTAGGGTTCCAAGAGCTTGCCATGGCCGTCCTCTCCCTCTCCTCCACTCTCTTTCTTCATATTCCCTCCCTAAATTATGCTCGGATCAGCGCTCTGACAAGGCGGTGTGAAATCAAATCCCTTGAAATAAACCCTATGATTTCCCCAATTTCTGTTCACATGTTGCTTTTTGATGTAGCTTCTAGCGCCCGTCATTGAAATCTTAGGGATTCTCCCGCTTCTCCACCGTCACTGAAGCATCGCCGGCCCTCGGAATGGCTCCGATAACCGATTTAACATTGAAATCAGGGTTTTTAGATTCAATTGTTAGGGGTAAATGGTTTTTTATGATGAATTTACAGACGAGAGTAAGGAATCTCATCAGAGGGGAGTTCTTGGAGTCCCGATCGGTTTTTATGATGAATTTACAGACGAGAGTAAGGAATCTCATCAGAGGGGAGTTCTTGGAGTCCCGATCGGAGTCTTCAATCGATGTTATCAATACTGTAAGCCTCGATCTTTTCACTTTATGCTTTCCCAATGGATTGTTATTGAATTTGCTAAAAAAGTGTTTTTTTAAATAATAATAGGCGACACAAGAAGTAGTTTCTAGGATTCCATTGACTACAGACGAAGAGTTTAAAGCGGCGGTTAACGTTGCAAAAAAAGCTTTTCCTAAATGGAAGAATACTCCAGTTACTTCAAGGCAGCGGGTTATGTTCAAGCTCCAAGAGCTCATTCGAAGAGTCATGGTAATTTGTTTTGAAAAATGTTTACTTTGTAGCAAGGGTCAATTACTAATGGTATATGTGTTTCTATTTCAGGATAAGCTTACTATGAATATTACAACTGAACAGGGGAAGACACTTAAAGATGCTCAGGGTGATGTTTTCTGTGGTTTAGGTTAGTTTAACACCAAATCTAAATTTCCATTAAAGTCTGCGTGTATTATTTCGTAATGAACCAATATGTTAGGGATGATGGACAATTGGACATTGTTGTTTATTTTATTCAGTAAAAAACATAATTTAGATGGATGCGTAATTTGCACAATTGTTTCTTGGTATGTTATTGTAGAGGTGGTGGAGCATGCTTGTGGGATGGCAACACTCCAGATGGGGGAATACGTGTCAAATGTTTCAAGGGGAATTGATACATATAGTATCAGGGAGCCTCTTGGTGTCTGTGCAGGGATATGTCCTTTCAATTTTCCTGCCATGATTCCCTTAATGGTATAACTCTATTGCTTTTTTTCAAATTTGTATGCATGTTTTGTGTTCGATTCTAATTGAAATTGCTTTATGCATATTGTTGGATTGGCTTCATGGGTTAACGATGTGTTGGTTGCTTTATGTTATAGTCAACTTTTAGTTTCACTTCTGAATACTGTAGGGTTACTTGCTGGTTTATGTATCCATATATTATCCTATACTATGTGATTTGGTGAAGGGGTAATAAAAATATAGCTATATAGTATATAGTAATATTAGCATACTGTGAGCTAGTCTGAGCTTACTTGTGGTTGCCTAATGCTGGTTATATGAGCTTGTTTGCATACTCTGATGGTTTGCCTAATGACATTTCATGTTCTCCTTCCTCCCTATTATTTTTGATAAATATTGTTGAACATGTTTATATTTTTGATGTTCACCATGTATTTTTGATGTTGCAAGTTTCGTGGATTTTTTTAATTTTTATTTTTAGTTTTAAGGGCTTGGAGAAAATGTAGTAGTAAGTTGATTTTTGCAATAAATTTTGGAGTAAGCTAAAGAGCTATCAATATATAGAAATATTAGTTTTCTTTATTATCAATAAACTCGAAATCAAGTCTTTTATGAAAATACTATATGGATTGTTATTTTGTTCCTAAGCATCTAAAGGTTGTTCTATACTTTTTTAAATATGCACTAAATATAATGACAACAGAGTTAAAGTTTCAATTCCTTTATTTATTCCTTGCAAGAAACATACATCCCAGAAAATAGTGCATCAAATCATTTAGTCAATCAAATTTTGTAATCAATTTGCATTTTTTATCCAAATGATCTTATACTGATACTGATTTGTGTATCATGTACTAATTGAGACACTATTATAGTTTAATCAAATCATATGTCATATTTTACCACTAAAATGCATGCTGTCTCCCCCCTTAATGTAGACAAAAAGCTCCTCAACATAGAGCAATTAAGTGAGGGTTATGTTGAAGATTACCCAATGTTTTCATGTGTTGACTACTAAGCTTCTTGGAAATCATGACATATAAAAACTAGAGCAGGCTCTAGTGGACTTGTTGGGATCCTTCATATGTATGGATTTAATGTTCACAAAGTCAAAGACATGATATGTATGAACATATGATGCATTTTTCAATCTTATGTGTACTAACTTAAGGATTTAATAAATTTAAAAAGTATGTATGTATATCGTCGTGTTGTGCTTGTCCATTTTCCTTAGGGGCTGTGTGTTTGCATAAGGGGGAGGGCGAGGATTATGGCGAGGGCGAGGGTGAGAGTTATGGCGAGGGTGAGGGTTAGGATTACGTGAGTGTTAGGGTTAGGGTTAGGTGAGGGTGAGAGTTATGGCGAGGGTGAGGGTTAGGGTTAGGGTTAGGTGAGGGTTACATTGAGGGTTATAGTGAGGGTTATGTTGAAGGTTAGCATAACACAAAGCCCAAAATATATACGTATAATATTTTTATGTGATGGTGGTGTTGATGGTGCGTGTGTGCGTAGTGATGATAGTTGCGTATAATACATAAGAATATGCCATGATACTCTCTTATTGTTATACTTGAATGTCATGTCATGTTGTTAACGTTTGATTTATATTTGCAGGCCGAGACTTCTAGACAAGGTGGAGCTAGTGATGAGGATGATGATAATGATGATGATGATCAGGAGGACTGATTTGTTTTTTTACCTTTGAAAACAATGAATGAGTGTGTTGTATAAACAATATTTATCATGGGGTGTACTATATAAACAATGTTTATTATGTTAGGATATTTTAATTAAATTATATGTGTTATATATGCGTGAGAATGAATATTATAATGCTGATCGAACAGGGTTTTAAATTTATTATATTATTGTACAGGTTTTTTCAATTTTTAAATTATTTTTAAAAAAATATTGGAAATATTTAGCAACGGATTAGCCGTCGCTAAATAGACTTTTAGCGACGGAAAACAGATACGGGGGACAAATATTACCGACGGATTTTCCGTCGTTAATGTTAATGGCGACGGAAAATTCATTTTATTTTTATTTTTTAAAAATAGTTATAGCGACGGATTTTTCGTCGCTAATAAGTTTTAGCGATGGATTTTCCGTAGCTAAAAGTTGTTATACGTCGCTAAAAGTTATAGCGACGGATTTTTCGTAGCTAAAAGTTTTTATTTTTTTAAAAAAAATAATGCGACGGATTATACGTCGTAGCTAAAAGTTTTTATTTTTTAAAAAAAAATAATGCGACGGATTATACGTCGCTAATTTTCCATCGTTAAAATTTAGCGACGGAAAATGGACAAATTTTCAAAACCAACCTATTTACAAATTTAATAGCAGAAAACAACCTATTTCAGATTTAATTGCAAAAACCGACCTGGTTTCAGGTCGGTTTTTGAAAATTTTTATCCGAAACTTCACGGGAGTTGAACTCCCGTGAAGTTTCGTAGTTCAAATTTTTTTTTTTTTGTACTGGGAAACTTCACGGGAGTTCAACTCCCGTGAAGTTTCGAATGTTTTTTCACAAAAACCGACCTGGTTTCAGCGCCAAGGCTGAAACCAGGTCGGTTTTTGCAATTAAATCTGAAGTGGGTTGTTTTCTGTGATTAAATTTGTAAATAGGTTGGTTTTGAAAATTTGTCCACGGAAAATCCGTCGCTAAAACCGATTTTAGCTACCCTCACTATACTGACGGTTTTTTGGAGACAGAATTTTATTTTTTCCGTCGCTAAAGGTTTTAGCGACGGATTTTCGACTTTTAGCGACGGATTTTTCCGTTGCTAAAAGTCATGTTTCTAGCAGTAGCTTGTTTGACCATGAAATGACATTTCTCCCAATTGAGAGTCAGATTTTTCTTCCTACACCGTTTTAGGACCAGTTTAAGATGATGCAAACATTGGGAAAATGTGTCACCAAAGATGGAAAAGTCGTCCATGAAAATTTCGAGAAATCGCTCTATCATGTCAGAAAAAAAATACTGATCATGCAACATTGGAATGTGGCCGGTGCGTTGCATAGTCTAAAGGGCATGCATCGGTATGCGAATATTCCATACGGGCAAGTGAAGGTGGTTTTCTCCTGATCTTCTGGAGCGATAGGGATTTGATTGTAACCTGAATATCCATCCGGGAAACATTAGAACTTGTGTCCTGCTAAACGCTTTAACATTTGGTCAATGAAAGGAAGAGGGAAGTGATCTTTCCGAGTGGCTAAGTTGAGTTTTCGGTAGTCAATGCAAACTCGCCATCCAGTTTGGATCTGAGTGGGAATCAGCTCATTAGCCTCATTTTGGATCACGGTGATCCTAGATTTCTTTGGAACAACTTGGATCGGACTCACCCATGAACTATCAGAAATGGGATAAATGATCCCATGATCGAGACATTTCAGAATGTCTTTCCTAACGGCTTCTTTCATCACTGGGTTTAACCTACATTGAGCATCTCTAGTAGGTTTGGCATCATCTATCAAATGGATTCGGTGTTGAACAATGGTTGGACTAATCCCTTTGATATCAGCCATGGTCCATCCAATGGCTTCCCTATTCTCTCTTAAAACAGCTAAGAGAGCTTCCTTTTGACCGGTAGTCAACTCAGAAGAAATGATAACTGGTAAAGACTCGTTCTCCCCTAAGTAGGCATACTCTAGATTTTTAGGCAGAGGTTTGAGCTCTAACTTAGGGGGTTCCTCCACAGATTGGCGAAGCTAGACTCGGGGTTCTATCTTCATAGGTTCTCGTTGCCAGCCAACAGTATAAACATGATTGACCAGCGGTTCTATCTCTAGTTCGTCATCAGAAAGCTCCTCAATCATTAAATCAAATGCATTTGAATCGGACTCACACTCTCCCTCTTGTTGTTCACTGGATATTCCTTGAATGAAATTTACTTCCATGGGTTTATCAGATGGATCACTAGGCTGCCTTCCTAGGTTGAAGATATTGAGGTCAACAGTCATATTCCCAAAAGATAGTTTCATTTGATCGGTTCTATCGACTAACTGTAGAGTGCATCTTGTCGGTTTAAGCTCTTCTACACCTAGCTGTTGATAGACTGAATAAGGAAGGAGGTTGATGCTGGCTTCCAAGTCTAGAAGTGCCTTATCAATATGAGTGTTACCTATGACGCATGGAATTGTGGGACAACCAGGGTCCTTACATTTCAACAACATGGGTTTCGAAAAAATTTTACTAAGGTTGGCAGCTAAGAAGACTTTTTTGGGGATATTGGTGGTTCTTTTCTTAGTGCATAAGTCCTTCAAGAACTTTGCATAAGAGGGGATTTGTTCGATTGCATCTAGGAGAGGGATGTTGATCTTGACCTGTTTAAATGTTTCTAGGATTTTCTCAACCTGCGGGGAGTTTTTCCTAGGTTTGAGTTTATCTGGAAAGGGGGCAACGGGCCTATACCTATCTAGATCAGGCTCAATCTCATGTTCAGCATTTTGGTCATCAGAAGGTATTGCTTCATTGGAAGGAGTGTGTTGGATGGGAGAAGGGGTTTGATCCGATGGCATTCTAACTTGGTTGTCTATTTGTTTTCCTGATCGTAGTGTGTGAATTGCATTCACATGAGCTGGATGAGTTGAACTGGATCCATTATCTTTAGGGTTTGCAATTGGTTGACTTGGGAATTTTTCTTTTTCTCTCTCACTCACGATAGTGGCTAGTTGCCCAAGTTGAGTTTCTAACCGGGCTATGGCTTGAGTGTTCGAGTTGAGCACTTGGCGGTGGTTTGCATGAAGGAATTTAGAGTGGTGGATGACTAGGTCAACACATTGGTAGTTTGTGTAGAAGCTTTGATCATAGCTTCTAAATTCTTTTCTAAGACACTTAAATGTTTGTCATGATCAGAATTTGAAGGATTTGTAGGCTGGTGAGGATGAGGATGTTGGGTTGGAAAAACTGGGTTAGTTTGTTAGAAATTATTTGGTGAGTTGAACGGGACAGTGTTTCCCCTAGGAAATTGTTAGTTTGACGCGGGAATGAAGTTTTGATTTCCAGGAGAATTTCCTTGGTTCCATGCAAAGTTGGGATGATTTCTTCAACCTGGATTGTAGGTTGGAGAAAATAGATCATTTCTAGGACGCTGGAATGCAGCGTTCATCTATTCTAAAGCATGGTTGTTTCCTAGGAAAGGACATTCCTCT